GGATTTCTGCCTCTGGAATGCTAGGATTAAAGGCGTGTGCTACCACTGCCTATCCTCTATGTTTAATATTGTGACTGTTCTGTCTCTGACCCCAGATAAGTTTATTAGAGTGCACAATATTTCGGGGAACACAATACCACCACATTTCCCCTTTTTGTCTAAAATTAAAAAAGCTTATAACTAATACAAGAAAAACTATATCCAATAACTATATACAATATATACAGTCAAGAATTACATTAGTAATGTCTAGTCCATTAACATTTGACAGGTTCAGATGAAAAACTTCATTAATATATAACAATGTTCAGTCCAGTAACATTTGATCAACTCAGACAAAAAATTTTCATTACTTATCCTATGTAAAACAAGTAGTTCCATTTTAAAAGTAGATTCAAAAATTGACCTTTTTATCTTATCATATTCATATTCTCTCTCTTTTCTCTTCATAATAGATTCAATAATCTACCTTTTGTTATTTTAATATTTTCCCCTTTTTGTTTTTAGAGTAGATTCAATTATCTACCCATTTATCTTATTATTTCTTTATCTTTTTTCTCAGAGTAGAGTCAATGATCTACCTCATATCTCTTGTCTCTTTTTTCTTTTTCTTTTTTTCAAACAAAAACTCTGAAGTTAATCTCCTTGTTCAGCTTTTTTCCTGACCATTAACAATTAACAACTCATAACCAACCATCATAAACAATGACAATATCCATAACTCATTAAGCAACCAAAACCTCCCACCCCACCTCTTGGAAATGTGGGCATCGTTTTCTTAAAATTACTTTCTGCTTTCTGGGGGTGAAGACATCTTTAGGGGATCCTGAAAAAAAATTTTTTTGGTTAATTGTCAAGTCCTGATAGATTTAGCTCTATCATTTGTCCAGTCTCTGCATAATGAGAAAGTGTAGAACTTGTCACAAGTCCTTGTTCAAGTAGTCTGTCAGGCTGGATCATCTCAGCTAGTTACCTCAAAATTGTCCTGAGCAGTTTGTAGTACAAAGTCAATCTTTCTGTAGTGTTAATGGCTTTACTGTAGTCCATGTGGAATCATCAATGTGGAATCATCATTGTGGGATCCTGTCACCGTTTTTGAAGATTTCAAAGTCACTGTTAAGTATGGTCATGGTTTTCTGAAGACCTCTGAAGACTTTTTTTTTTTTTTTTTTTTTTTTTTTTTTTTGGGTGCCTCCTCTGTGGTTTGGAGCAATCACAGTTTCATAAATGCCTGTCTCTCAGAACCATGACCATTCTTCCCTAGAAGGAAAATCTTCACAGCAATTTCTCCCCACCATATGTCTTGCCAAATATTTCCAAACTGAACTTTGCCAATGCTTTCTTGTAACACGAAGGTCCTGGCAATTGTTCTTTGAACAAGCAGCGATAAACCCTTTGTCCCAGGTAGCAGCATCACCCAAGTCACCAACATGATAAGAAGGAGCCAGCAACCAGCAACTCGGAGCAGCCGCTGCCTCCATGGTCCCACTGCCACCCTTTGTGGCTGGGCCTCGGCCGAAGCTTCTTCTTAACAAGACTCCTAGGCCAGCCTCAAACTCGGGATCTTCCTGCCTCTGTCTCCTTCAGAAAATCCAACTGGCGAGCACCACCACAGTCGGCTAAGGGTAGCTCAGGTTTGAGCTGGGGCCTACAAGGCCACAGGCAAGCGGCCTTTTTGTGAATTTGTACCACAAACGTTGGGCACCAGATGTAGCAGGAATCTTAAAAGTTCTTATTAATAAAATCAAACCTGAGGCCAGTTATTGGGGGTGAACACTGGAAGATCAGAGAAGCAGAACAAGCCACAGCCACCTCACCTTGCCAGTTCCTCAGCTGACCCTGTTTCCTCAGACTGGAAGCCTCGAGCCCTCATCCAGAGACACTAGTCACACACATGGTGCACAGACATACACTGAGGCAAAAGACCCTTTCCTAGCTGGTTTTGTGGGTCAACTTGACACAAGCTAGAGTCATCAGAGAGGAAGGAGCCTCAGTTGAGAAAATGCCTCCATAAGATCCAGCTGTAAGGCAATTTTCTCAATTAGTGATCAATGAGGGAGGGCCCAGCCCATGGTGGGTGGGTGGTGCCATCTCTAGGCTGGTGGTCCTGGGTTCTATAAGAAAGCAGGCTGAGCAAGCCATGAGGGGCAAGCCAGTAATCAGCATGCATCCATGGCTTCTGTATCAGCTCCTGCCTCCAGGTTCCTGCCCTGCTTGAGTTCCTGTTCTGACTTCTTCCAGTGATGGGCTATGATGTGGAAGTGTAAGCCAAATAAACCCTTTCCTCCCCAACTTGCTTTTTGATCATGGTGTTTCATTGCAGCAATAGAAACCCTAACTAAGACACACCCTTACACATTAAATTAAATCAGATTAAAAACTTTTTAAAAATGACATAGAAATTCAAGTAAATAAATAAGCATAATAAATACTGGAGAATCTTCTGAAGAAACTGGACAGCAACCAAGAGCTACCAATAAAAAGAGATATTTAGTATATAATGGGATGTGTACACTTAGGGTGTATAGTGAACTGCTGAAACCTTCCACACACACTAAACACCATGGCCTACTAGAAAGAAATTAATC